GGAAATGTTATGTAACACGGCCCAGTGTGGCTTCCGGTTCCGGCACTTAACGCACGACCCAGAAAAGAGATCAGTTCCATCCACCAGCAAGCCTATGTCTGTGCAAGCTTCTGGCAAACAGAAGGAGAATGAGCTTACGGCACCAGGCAGTATGTCTCTCCAAGCCTCCAACATGTCCGCAAGACTCAGACCTGCCTGTAACAGCTTTACGGCCTCAGCCAGCCCCTAAGGTCAGTTTGACCTGAGGCTCCTCTACTTGCAGCACCCTCACACCCCTCAGTAGTGGACTGAGCAGCACCATCGTCACCGCGCGCAGCACCTGCTCCAGCCGCCACCGCATGCTCCGCCATCTCTGTAGCAGTATCAGCCGCCTCAATCGCCACCGGGTGTCCAGTTGCCCCTGTAGCACCGTGATCATGCTCCAGGGCTTGGTGCTCAAAGGTGCCACAGCTGAGCCCCGTATCTGCTGGAAGGAGCGTGATGCCAACTGCAATGTCTTCATTCCACGCTGTCAGCACCCTTCTCCACGCCTCCGGTACCACGTATGGATCTCCTTCGCGTAGCCCTGCATGTCCGTCCTGAGGTTCTTGCCCTTCGCATCCTACTGGAGGGAGCTGGCCGCATTGTTAGCGTTGACACCTCCATGAGCCTCACCGCCTGCTTCAAGAGGCGCATCCGCGGATGCAGAATCCATTCCATGGTCAGCCATCACGTCCTCTGCCGGCATGGCAAGTCACCCTCCGCCAAGTTCTCCATTCCTTCCACTGGATGATCACGTACCGGTAGCAGATCTGGGACGTCCGCCTTTGGCTTATCCCCAGCTGGGATGGTGGAAGCCTCGGAGTCATGGCCCTCCTCTGAGCCGGATAGCGTAGGTATGTCCTCTACATTCCTGACCGCCGCATCGACATCATCCTGCACTGCAACCCACAACTGGAAAACCTCTGCAACTTCAGTGCCGAACCTGGCATCAACCTCCTCTACCGTGATGGCACCCGCCTGAAACTGCTATAGGAAGGGTCTTCCTTCTTGGCTGCCCATGAAGTTCGCCACGTCTTCGGAGAGGCCCGGGACGTGGTCTCTATGGAACGTTGCCAGCTGCGGCGCCGCCTGCGCAGAGACAAAGCCAGGTCCTCTATCGGCGCTCAGCGCGCCCTCCGTCCCTGCCAACAGTGTCTCTTCAACCTGGAACGTCACGGTAGGCTGCTGGCCATGGTCAATGACTCCTTCAATGTTCGCTGTGCCAACTTCCTGCCCTCCTGCCGATCCTACACACACCGTCACCCGGATTCTCTTTCTGCTTGGCAGGGGACGTTCTCGATCCAGTTCGGACCGAATTGCCCAGTCATCCCAACGCTGGGCGAGGCTTGCCTCGTACTCCTGGAAGGCCTTTCTGTCCGCCTCTTCTTGCTCCACGGCCTCCTGCATGATTTCCCTGTCATGTTCACGTAGCATTGCCGCCTCCTCTTCAGTTGCAGCTTCCCATTCTCCCGTTGAGTTTCTCTTGACCTTGTACTCCGGCTCCACTGCAACCTCGGACGAGTTGAAGACTTCAACGGCGTCCGTTGACGAAGCTGCCACAGATGCCAGGCACGCGCGCGGCCTCTCCACCTTACCCTCAGTCAGGCCACTCTCCGGGGTTCTTCCCCCATTGAGATACGGTATCAACGTACGGAGTTGACCCTCACTCCAAACCTGCAAGGACAGCGGCACTTCAACCTCTTCAGTGACATAGGAGGCTACGAGGGCTTCTAGTCGCAGGAACCGGTCAGATATCTGTGCATTCGTAGCCCCTGCCAACCTCCGAAGTCTTGACGTCATGACATGCAAGTGCCAGGCTGCTTGCGCACACTGCGTCGTGTCCAACCCGTTCAGCTGTGCTTGAATCTGGGTAAGCTTCGACCCGAAAGGAATTCGTGGGTCGAAGGTCTGGACCATGCTGACGTAATCAGTGACGTAATCCCGGAGGTGGGTGGCCTGCTTGCTGCATGAGTGCTGGAGCGTCGTCTTCAATATATTCGGGTTCATCTGTTTCTGGCGGCAGCTGTGCCAAGTGAATGGCCCTAAGGATCTCCGCCAGGAAACATCCTAAGAACGGAAGCAGCTGTGCAATCATGTCCGTGCGGCGTCTTGGCTCCATAGACCTTAAGTTGTCCACCACAGCCTCCACCGTCTGTTCGTCGAGGACCCGATTGTTATCTCCCATAGCGTCCTGCAACCCCAATATTTCACTCCACCAGACCACGTTAGCGGATCCATTGCCTAGTGGTGGTACATCAGGCACTCTGGGTCTTGTCACCGTGCTGGGAGCCGAGGACGGTCTCGATGTCCCTGATGGTCTGCTGCCCCCGCCGCTTCTTTGCCACGGTGCGGTAAGTGCTTTTCTGGAGCATGTCTCTGTGGTGACCTTGTCCCTGCTAGACCTGATGGTCCAGGCACTGCGGCGTTCTTGTCTGAGCCTCTCACTGTCCCTTGCTGCCCGTTCACGACGGCGTCTGCGGGGCGACGGCGAGCGCCTCCGCTTCCTTTGCATGAGGCTTATTTCTTCTTGTTCCCTCGTGCTTGCCATAGCCTCACAGTTGTTCACTTCTCTGTACTTCCCCATCTGCTGGAGCTGCTGCATCTTGTCCCTCTGGTACTTTGCCACGTAGTGGCCCTGAGGCACGTCTTCATCCTTGATAAGGAGCATCTGCGTGCGTGGTAGCACCTCATCCTTCTTTACAACGTCCTCATACTTCAGCAGGGTCACCTTGGCAAAAGCTGGGCCGACCGCCACGATCGGGATCTTAGCCTTGATCTTCCGTTGGCTGTCACCCCTCTCATCGCAACCCTTGTAGCAACCCTCATTCTTTAGGATGGCCTGGTCAAGAGGCTTCGGGATTTAGGGGTTTAGGGCTTAGGGTTTAGGGCCACTCTACTCTCACTGTTGCAACGATGGTTGCCATCGCTAGCATGGATAGAGATCGGGATTTAGGATTTCGGGTTGAGGGGCCATCAGGGACTCCCAAAAAGTGCATCACGCATAGACAAGCACATGATCAATTTCTATCAAGGGATCAACTAATCAGACTCCACCTGTCCTCTGCCATAAAGCCCTACGACTTACTAGGATTAGTAGGGAATCGGAGAACATATTACATAGGGATTATATTCGCCTATTCCCTACTCACCACCAGTAAGAAGACACTAAGCCCATCTTAACTCGGAAGGGGTGACCCAGAGCTCTCAGTTTAGGGTTTAGGGGTTTAGGGGTGTAGGGTTTAGGTAGGTTGTCCCCCCAACACTAGTCGTGATAAAGTCGGAATATGTCGGCACCCCAATTCACTTACCATCACCCGTTTTGAGTAGTGTTCTGTGGTGCTTGAACGAAAGAAGAAGATTCTATGCTTGTTATGAAATATGACAACCAACAAAAGATCTAATCTTGTAATCGCGCTCTCCATTGTTGCCTTCATTATTCGTGGGCGTGGGGTAGGTATTAGCTCTGCACGTCAAGTCAAGGCGCCGTGGGCGGACGACCCTACCCTCCACCGACCCGTCCCTAGGGCTGAGCCAACATGGCCACGGGAACAGAGTGCTTCACAAGTACGACAGCAGCAGCTTATTGGTGATTGCAGGGATCTGTTATTCAGAAAGGACCCCATCTGCAGGCGGGAAGATGACCCTTTTCTAAATCCACTGAAGAAACCTACAACACATGGAGCAGCTAAAACATGTTGCGCCAGCCTGATTCTGCTTCGGATTGCCCGAGTTTTTGCCGCAGCTGCATGGAAACCATCGAGTGGCAGTCTAATCCCCTCCCCCTCGATCAGAAGCCTCCCCACCCCGCTGATCATGAGCATTCCCCCTAATCAGTTCACAATGATCCGTTTTGCGGGGAGTTGTTATCAAGGGTGGGAAGAAGGTTATTATATATGAGTTCTAATAAGAAGAATCATAATGCAGCAATGATGAACAACAACCAATTAGGGCAAGGCGATTAGCCATTAGTTGTCACGTACCGGCTCACTGCCGGCGAATGACAACCGAGCCTGCCATGCTCAAATAGATGCTCAGCAATCTCCAAAAATGTGGGTTAAGGGGGTTTAGGGCTTTGGGTTTAGGGTTTAGGGGTTTTGGGTTTTGGGCTTTGGGTTTAGATTTTTTGGGTTTAGCTTTGGGTTCAAGGTTTTTGGGTTTAGGGTTTAGGGGGTTTAGAGCTTTGGGTTTGGGCTTTGGAGTTTAAGGGCTTTGGGGTGTAGGGCTTTTGGGTTTAGGGTTTTTGGGTTTAGGGCTTTGGAGTTTAAGGGCTTTGGGGTGTAGGGCTTTGGGTTTAGAATTTTTTGGGTTTAGGGTTAGGGCTTTGCGTTTAAGGTTCGTGGGCTTGAAGGTGCCATGCAGGAACTATGGGTACCCCATACAGGGCCATTTTTTTGAACCCCCCCCTCATGATGATCCCGGTACTTGCGGGACCCCATGACGGGACCCCATGACCTGTTAGACTATAGCCATAGCCCCTAAGCCCTAAACTCTAAACTCTGGCACTTGGAGATGGGAAAAGATAGAAGAAAGAGGCAATCTCTATCCAGCTATCCCACTTAGAACAACTTCCCGTGAACCTCCAGGCGCACCGTTGAGGGTTTGGGGCTTTAGGGTCTAAGGTCAAACCCTTACGTCACCTTATTATGCCTACAACACCTGGCCGGCAGTCTTTGTACCCTAAACCCTAAACAGTAGTTTTCATTTTCTCTTCCATTATCCCTATATATCCCAATATATCACCTACACATCCCCTATAACCCTATATAACCCCTATATATACCCAAATATCGCCCAAAGGGAGGTCCATCAACCTGAATCAGGACTACTCACATCCCCCAAGTTTCGACTCCCCCCAAAACCACAATAACAAGCATTCCCGCTATGTAATACATATTGTAACCTACGCGGGTGTATGTCCTTCTAGGGAAGTCAGTGGATGGGGGGGAAGTTAGGGGAGAGGATTGGATTCCCTTTCAATCCTCCAAAGCCCAACTCATCAGAACAAATGGATTTAGGGTTTGAGGGTTTAAAGCTTAGGGTTTAGGAGGTTAAGGAGCCACAGCTTTCGGAATTGACAAGATACCCCTTTTCCAGGGCCAACAGTCCAACAAACTACATATTTGTAGAAGCTAACGTGTGTTGCCACCATAATCCTTCATACTACAGTCTCCTTAGACCTATAATAAAACAATGTTTTGAATATTTCTTTAGGGTTATACTATAACAATTAAAGATAGTTCCTGAGGACAGTACAAAATCACCTTGGACTCTACTGAACTCTAGACCCTCAACCCCCCAAATCGCGAATCCACAGCAAAACCCTGAGGCCGAAACCAGAAATCCTCAGGCAAAACCCTGAATCATCACCAATATCATGTTGAGGTCTACTTGAGGCACACGATGCTCGATTTATAAAAGGGACCTAGGATCACCATAATGTTGGTAACTATCTAAGCCCATACATTTTACACCAAAACCCCCAAAGATTGAACTCTACATCCCAAGGTGCCGCGCAGCCTTTACCACTTCTCCCCTTTCCTTTCCCCTTGGTGGCTTCCGTTCCTTCACAATCTGCACAGCAAGAAGGAATGCTCGTTCCTATCTGGTGCCTGTATGAATGTGTCAGGAATATTTTTGGGTGTTGAAAACCGTGCCGGCAAGAATTTGAGGAGCACACACACAAGTGGTTATCATCATCATCATCATCACCACCATCATCACCACCATCATCATCCATCTTGATTGAAGGCACCCTCGTTTCCGCCACACGTAACAGGGTCTTGAGCGGGGTAGATGTCCATAACATTTCAGGCAGCAAGTTGAAGATCTCAAATTGTCATCCCAAAAAGTCCCCTGAGTTGTTCCACAAACTTCTGGAGCGCCCGATGACAAGGACGACTTCTTACATGATGATCCCGACATCATGTCCTTTCATGCACACACCCTGCTGTGAGCACCCATTGTGCCGGGGGGCTACCGAAAATGCAAGCATTGTCTTGAGAAGCCCTCTGTCCTTCAACAGTCCTCTTTAATCCTGTTCCCTTCACCCCCAGCTGCGCACTTAACCCATCTGCCCTAGCCCCTCCGTGCGCCCCCAAGCCAGTACTGCTAATCTCAGTCTCACTCACCCCGAAGCCACTGAACGCCCCCAGTCAGATGATCATAGTAACCCCACTACCGAATATAATGAGGTCCTGATTTGGGGAATTTGGGTTACCAAGCTCCTCACATTAGCTCCAGCCCCTGAGCACCGGGAAGGGCGAGTCCTCCAGCACTGGCGCTTCGTCCGGCGCTGGCACTCCGGAAGATGCGCGGGCGTTCACGGCTCGGCTGCGGGGCGGTGGACCCCTGCGAAAGGTTGGCTTTAAGGAATGCACAGGAGCGGCGCACATTTTTGTTGAATGAGTTTAAGAAAGGGCCTTCATAACTTCACGACTATATTGCCAAGGTCGGGCATGCAAATATCGAGTTCTTGGTAAGATCCTACAAGTCTCATCGTACAGTTTAAGGGTGACTTAGGGCTTAGCATCAGGGCAAGGGACAGGGCAGTCGGAGTGGAGGGAATAGGATTACGCAAGCCGAATCCTTAAGAAAGACCATCTCCTAATTATCTCCATAAACTCCTAGGTTCTCCGCGGCTGCCCCGGATCTGAGAGATTCCTCATTTCAGCCTTCGCATCTCGGGCAGCAATTTCCCTAAACTAACACGGAACCACGCTACAAAGAATACTGTCACGTTGAAAGGGGCTATCCTGTGCAGCACTCTCCCCCATGCCCTGACGCAGAACCGACAAATCGAAAAGCCTAAGCCCAACAGAACCACGCATAGTCCTGCTTTTCAAGTTCGTGGCAGGTACTAGTCATGCGAGATCCCTTCCTAAAGCACGGAACCCTTAGAATAGGCTTCGCTGAAGCAT